CTTCATTGAAAACTTGTTTTGGTTTAAACGCTTCCATGTAGATAATGAAATTGCGCTAAGAAATTTCAGAAGTTAATTTCACAGTGAGTTGAGTACAGTTGTTAAAACCTGTTGCCTCAATACCACTTTGCTAGTTTCGCGCCTTTCCGCGTTGTTTCGGGTTCTTTTAAACAAGTAAGAATTACCAAAAAATAGTGCTTGCGTACAGGAAAGAAGACATTCATATGTCATGTTGTTGTTTGCTCGTGAATCACAATAAACAGAACGAACACGACAGTGACGCGTTACCTTTCAATTTTAATGTTCGTACGATGTTTGTTATACTCGCAGCACCTTGGGATATTATTAGCGCTAGATATATAGGTCGCCCTCGCTTTGTAACTATTAGCGCGTTTCTACTTTGTGTGAAAGCGAACTTGTTTTGCGTGGTTAGCCTATAGAACGAGGAATATTCATAAGAATTATGGCGCGTTTTTACTGTGGTGTAACAGCGAACTTGTTTTGCGTGGTTGGCTTATAGGGTGTAACAGCGAACTTGTTTTCCATGGTTGGCTTATAGAACGAGGAGTATTCATAATAATTATTAGCGCGTTTTTACTTGGTGTAAAAGCGAACTTGTTTTGCATGGTTGGCTGATAGAACAAGGAATATTCATAATAATTATTAGCGCGTTTTTACTTGGTGTAAAAGCGAACTTGTTTTGCGTGGTTGGCTTATAGAACGAGGAATATTCATAATAATTTTTAGCACGTTTTTACTTGGTGTAAACGCGAACTTGTTTTGCGTGGTTGTCTTATAGAACAAGGAATATTCATAATAATTATTAGCACGTTTTTACTTGGTGTAAAAGCGAACTGGTTTTGTGTGGTTGGCTTAAAGAACGAGGAATATTCATAATAATTATTAGCACGTTTTTACTTGGTGTAAAAGCGAACTTGTTTTGCATGGTTGGCTGATAGAACGAGGAATATTCATAATAATTATTAGCGCGTTTTTACTTGGTGTAATTATAAAAGCGAACTTGTTTTGCGTGGTTGGCTTATAGCACGAGGAATATTCGTAATAATTATTAGCACGTTTTTACTTGGTGTAAAAGCGAACTTGTTTTGCTTTGCATGGTTGGCTTATAGAACGAGGAATATTCATAAGAATTATAGCGCACTTTTACTTGGCGTAAAAGCGAACTTGTTTTGCGTGATTGGCTTATAGAACGAGGAATATTCATAAGAATTATAACGCGCTTTTACTTGATGTAAAAGCGAACTTGTTTTGCGTGGTTGTCTTATAGAAGGAAGAACGTTCATAATAATTATTAGCGCGTTTCTACTTGGTGTAAAAGTGAACTTGTTTTGCACCAATAGAACCATTGGAATGGCATCATTTTCCATTGGTACCAATCGTACCATTGGTACCAATGGACCATTGGAATTGCCCTGTACCCAGCCAGGTCACATGGGAAAATAATCTAAGTCCCCTTAATGAGATGCATATTCACCAATAGAACCATTGGAATAGGGTGCTTTTCCATTGGTACCAATCGCACCATTGGTACCAATGGACCATTGGAATTGCCCTGTACCCAACTAGGTCACATGGGAAAATAATCTAAGTCCCCTTAATGAGATGCATATTCACCAATAGAACCATTGGAATAGGGTGCTTTTCCATTGGTACCAATCGTACCATTGGTACCAATGGACCATCAGTTTGACGAATCGTATCCGTTTGTGTATATTGGACATGTGTGAAAAAATCTTAACAGCTCTGGATGACTGACCAAGAAGGCTTAAAATCCGGTTAAACTACACTGAAAGATTTTTCGATGATAAAGTTATACAACAACTTACGGGGTAATTTTAATCATGTGCCAATTAGTTTTTACGCATACGTAACCCTACTCGAATAATAAAATTTCTGTGCAGTTGGTTTAAATTTGCTAACTTTTCTCACCAGTGGTTCTGAGTCTGACCTGATGACTTGCCAATATGCCTTGTCAGTCAATTAAGTAAACTTTTGTTCCAGATAAAGCGGGTTCGCAGCCAACAAAAATTTAGTCTTCCAGAGAATGAAACATCGAAAAATTAGTAAACGATGACTCATCTGACTCCATTCTCGGCCAATCGATTTGCTCCATGTCAGTCTGTGATCGAGGAACAATTTGTCCGAGTGTGTCCACTAATAAGTAATATTAGTAAAATCCAACTACTGGTCTATTATGAATGCTGCGTTCTGATTGGTTGAGCTACTACTAGCTATATGTTACAGCCCACTAGTAGCGAAAAGCGCCGGCTTTTTGGCGGCAAAAAAGGATAAAAGTCTAGCTTTAAGTAGTTAAAACTTTTCTCATTCTCTGTATTTTTGACCAACTAGTTGGATTTTACTAAAACAATTATTCCTCTCGCCCTTATGGCCTCATGGGCTATTGACTCAAAGCCTATTTGGGCTCTTTCAGGCATACAAAGATTGGAGCGCGAGCAAATGTATATCCTAGTCTTGTTGAAGAGCGGTACCAATACTCCGAGACAATGAAAAACAACATTGTGACGCACGGAAGACGTGCCTGGATTTTATCGGTACTCTTGGGACTGATCCTTGGTGGAGTCATAGCGTGGACGGCATGGAACAGCCAGATTCTTCCTGTAGTTTTTGGTGTTCTGATCGGGGGAGGTGCATTATTGATAATTGGCGGGTCGGTTTACTTCAGAGGGAAAATCACAACCCCCCTTCCTTTTTGTCTTCCTCCCAATTCCCTACCCTTTCGACGCTTGCTACGCAGGCTAAGCACCTCTGTCATTTAAGACAATAACAGACTATTCATAAGCGCGGCGCCCTCCTGCATCACTAGGGACTTTAAGATCCAACGACGCGGACGGCAACGAGAACGTTAAAAAAAACAATAGGTTTTATAATTTATATAATTATGATCAAAACAACAACACGTGCATCACACTTTTTCGTACATTTCTTTGCCCGTTTTTGTACGAGTACAACATGAAAATTCTTAATTTCACGTTTTATGGAGTACGTAAACAAGAAATAACGAAATTTTATTTTCTCTCTGAACTTGGATATGATCCCTAGGAATTTAACTCCGGGAGAGTTCGCCTACATATGACAAAGTAAGTATCTAAAACTAATTGCGATAAAGACTGAAATAACACAAATTAATTTTCCAAGCGACGTTGTCGTTGCCGTCGCGTTGTTGGATCTCAAAGATCCTAACTGAGGGGGCGTAAAGGGGCTGTGTCATGGCAGTCCAGTTCAGTTTGTTTAATTTTTCCAATTACTCGCCCTCAATCACTATGGCACTTAAAGTAAGCACAGAAATTACATGTAAATGACAAATATCAGAGATCAGAAACAAACAAATATGTCTCCTGAGCATTATTTATGAACTTGCAAGCAGCAGGAATCAACTTTGAAAAACTGTTAGGCTGAACAGTTTTCAAAAACCCGAATTTCAATCCATTTCAATCTTCTTCAGTTTTGACCATCCGTGGAATCTGTTGTTTCTGTTGTGTTATTTTAACCTTCCTTTAATGTTTTAGGTGGTTATTTTTTATGTTTCTCTCAGTTTAACGGGCATTTTGTAATTACCTACTTTGTCTGAATTTTGTGACACGGCTCCTTTAACCAGCGACAGCGACGTCGGCGACGTCAGGGAGAAGGGCCAAAAACCAAAAGGTTTATTTTGGCAAAACAACAACTTTGCACGTGCATCACGCTTTTCTGTACATTTCTTTTCAGTCACCTAATTTCACGCTTTGTGAAGGACTTGAACACAAGACAACGACTTTCTTTTTTTTCTTTTTTTTCTGAACTTTGATACAGCCTTCTAGTCTTAAATTCGTGATAGAAAAAATTGTCAACACTTAACGAACTGAACGAGATGAAAAAGCGCAATCATGTTCGAAGCAGCGCGACTTCACTTATTAAGTGACGTTATTGTAGCCCGGCGTCGCCGTTGTTGTGGCTTAAGCTCCTGGCCTAATGTGGCGCAAAGTTACGCCTGGGCAAATTTCACATGTGCAAAACCAAACGCAAATGGGGTTTGGAACATGTGATGGTCAAACTTCTTTCTTGTCTCCAGAGCCCGTCGTTTCTTTTGGTCTCGTGGTCTTGACAAATTAAGTCGATTGGCTATGGAGACAAGAAGGGACAAACTTTGAATAGCCCTTCCACCGGATAAATCAGTACTAGGGAAACCAATCGAGTTAACAACTTGATAGAGCGGTAGGAAGATCCAGCTTCTAAACAATTCGGACCTTGACATCCTTGGCCTGATTATCACAGTCATGATTGCTATTCATTTGGATATGAATGGAGAAATATACCCTGCAAAAAAGCAGGGCGGAGAACACTGGAAAAAGGTGTAACTGAAACATAAATTCCACATTTTATTTTGTATAGTTACAAAAAGCTAATTGTACCGTAAAGATTAAAAAGGTAATGAAGAAAAAAGGTTTTATTTGAATGGTCACGCCAGGATATTCACCACAGGCTATAAAAAGATCAGAAGCATTCGCAATTAACATTTCACTCCTAAAATTAAATGCATGTCGCGACAGTATCTTTAAGATAAAAGGGGAAAAAGTCCTTTAAAACCTGTAATAGCAATAAGTGACAAGATATCAAATGTTTAAACAAACAGGCGTTTGACTAGTAACGTTTTACCAGGCATAATAGTGATGTACCCCTAAAGCATGACCTATTATCATTCTATTTCCGTCCCATTACGTTTGGAATCTTCAAATTTACCTTGCCAAGTTCCTAGACCTTATTATTGCGCCCGGACGATGTGTTTCGGGTCACGTGGTCCGAGCAAAATTTTCTCAATTACGTCACCGAAATGCATTGACCGAGAAGGCCTGGGAAAATGCCGTATAGGTACCATCTGTCCAGGAGGTTGTTTTTCTGACCGTGAGCTAATGAGCGGACCAGAGGTGGTTTTACAAGAGGGCGGTCTCTCCAGTAACAGCCGAGGAAACATTTCGCCTATGTCACGTAAACTCTAGTATGTCACGCTTTCTTCTTGAAAGATCATCACCCACGATCTGGTTAATGGGCACGTGCATGAAAGCTGGTCTAAACAAGCCATACTTCCACTCATTGAGTACTGACAGCACATAATGTATTGTCCTTGGCTTAACGACTAAAGACAACGGTAATGTTTGGGAAAATTTTGTTTTCCTGTGAATGCCCCCCAACTTAACTTTCATCAAAATGTCCCTGCACACATTTGCAACTTCAATGCTCATCAAGCGAGTCTGCCTTTTAGACACGACATATTTCTTTAGGTTCCGTATAGTCACCAACAAACATTTAGAGTCCAGCGATCGCGTGTTACTCTTCAGTCCGTAATCTACAAAATGGCGAGAGCGGATCAGTTTCTCCACTGATAATTGATGCGATCGTCGACGCGGAGTCTCGCAGGCGCAAAGTTTCACGTCCACGCCCCTGTCTGCGCAATTTTCATATTTACTATAAAAGCTTAGTCGTGTGTATTTAATGAAGGTGATTCTGTGTTCTCGAACACTTGAGTGCCGAAGCTGGACTTCGAAGCGTTCTTTTGATTTAATACCATAGGCTGGCTCAACAACTAAAATCATTGTTGTGATGTAATATTTGCCGGCTATCTCCTGCCTTGGCCGCTCAATAGCTTTTCCAACAAATCTGGCGCAATTTCCGTATCCACTTAAGTGTTTGCTTTCTGATTTACCGGCTAAATATTGTTTCTGCACTAAATTATTAATATGTCCAACGGCAAACTCTGCTAGCCATAAAATATCCACTGAATTTGCACTCAGGAACTTTCTCCAACCTTTGCAACGACACATCACCTCCGAATGAAGACCTTGTATATCTGTGCATGTGCGAGTAGCAGACACTGGTCTCAGTAAGCCACTAGCCTGACTGACCGCGGCACCACTTTCTGTCAGCTCTGCGACAGAAGTAATTGTGTAGTGTAAATCCGACACGGTGACTAAGCGTTTTTGGTTTTCAATAAGAGCGTTCAGTCTATCTTTGCCCAAGCGTTGTGCTACTTTATGTGGAATGATCATAAAAAGCATTGGGCTATAAACCTCTAAGCTTCCTTGCAGTGTTTGGATAGCATAATCTGTTGTCTTACCTCCATGATCTGAGAGAATGATTGTCAAAGTGTTTTCGCTTCTTGCCATTTCTTCCAGAAATCTTGACAAAAAACGATCGTCGTTTCGAATGCGCTTTCCAGAGGGTTCGTGTCCTGTGTTAAGATGAGTATAAGTTAATCCTGGAGCAGCTGCAGGATTTCGATCTATTAATGACAGAAACCTTCGAACATAAGAAAGAAGATATTCACTCAGTGTTCTGCCATCCCAGCAAAGAGTGTTGTTGCGTTTTTTACGCCCGAAAGGATTCGTAACCCCAAGATCCTTTAGGATCTCACAAGAAAGATAACTGAGACCCACATTGTCTAAATAAGGATTGGTTTCCTGTTTGTAGTTTTCAAAAACTTGTTTGAATCCCTCTGTGAAAGGTTCGATGTTTTTCTTGTAAGAAGGGGAGAGAAAACTTCCCCACCCATCGTACCAACACAAGTCTTCCTGCATTAAAATTTGGTATCCAAATCGTTTAAACTTCTCCGCGAGTATGTTTATATTGTTTGTTCTTTCTGATTTATACTCTAGTGATTTGCCTGCCATCAAAAACTGGGTGTTCACAAGAGTGTAGGAAGCAAAGCTTTGAACGAGCTCAAAATCAAGCACACTGGCCTGGAAACTAGAATCTTTTGCAATATCACGAAGAGACTGGACCGAGCGAGGCATGGATCTGTAAAAGTGTGACCGAGAAACTGAATCCTCAAGTACAATATTAATGTTTATCTTTCTCTTTGCATGATCTGTTTTTGTCGTCGCACGTTTTAAAATTGGCGGGAATATTAGAGCTTGTTTGACACTTTTATTCCTCTCCTTGCACTTCAGTAAACAAAAGTTAAAACCATTTATTGAAGTTCGAGATACAATCTCAGGTAACTCTTGCTCCAATTCTCCTACGCTGTGAAATTGGCGCCAATCGTTCTCGTTGTGTATGATTCCAAACCTCGGATCCGCACAGCCGAGAAAGACTGGCGATGACTTGTCGCACACGTCTCTCCAACATGTCACAGAAACTCTCTCTGTGGGGCCAAACCTCGACTCCGTGAGAAATGTACAAATTGGCCGACTAGGAAGCATTACGCAGTCATGTGTATCTGCATTCGTGACGTTGAACATCCCAAAGTAACTAAACGCTTCATGGCAATCCTTGTCAGTTCTCTTATAGGGCACACAACTCATATTTACAGCTTTCTTTGTTGCAATATGTAATCCTTCATACTGACACTGAGAAGAATCTTTGCGCTGCTGATCCTGCTTTGAGATTATTTCTTCTTGGAGAGAGGAATGACTCTCTTCGTCTGATAGAAGAAGAAGTCTTTGCTTTAAATCCAAAGTTCTTTGTTGGTTTATCTCTGCTGCTGTCATGTCGTGGACTCCATTTATTGTAAGTTGCTCAGGGTTTCTGGCTTTATCTAAAAAGTCAAATGGTAAAAAAAAACAGTGACGTAAAGATTAAGTGAGATTAAGTGAGGTCAAGCCAAGAGCATAAGCTTAAAAGATGTTTTATGTTTACTGACGATTTTCTCAAAAGTTTTGGCGAAAGGGCCGATAAACTGAGATTTACGATGCAAATGTTTACTATATGAACCAAAGGCAAATACTCGCAGGGGCGGATGACCATCCGATTGTTATGTATCCGACGTCAACGTAACATGTACCTCATACCTCTTTGCGATGCAAACCTAACGGCCAACGGCCAAAGCAATACATAGCAGAGGCTGCCCATGATCAGGAAGTTTGCCGTTTGCGTGAGAAACGACGTGATGACTACAGATAAAAGGAGCATTTAAAGGCGCTCACTAAAAGCGACCATTGTCATGGTGGAAAATGACCCTTGTAAAAGGGTTACTTTGCCTGCATAGGTTGACTAATCCTACCTCCAATGTAAAAGACTTACTGTCCAATAAAAGGGAGGAATGGCCATGACAAGAGTGTTAAATGTTAAAATGACCTCCGGGAGTTCAAAGTGTCTAGACGTGTATACATGAAACTATGAACTCACCTGCTTGGACTCTAACCAAATAATGTTGTTGATGACTAAGAAACTTGATGGATCCCAGGCCCCAATCGGGATTTTGATAAAGAAACATAACTGACACGAGTCCAAGGCAAAGCAGTAAAAAGAAAAGCTGCTTCTGTAAAGGGAACAAAAAGGCGAGTAAAGTTACGCAGAGGTGAAAGTAAATTAGGTAAACTGAGGTTCTTTTATGAGCAAGTTCTGTAGCGAGGTAGAGGAGGAATTCTTCTCCATCAAACTCTTATCCCGAGAATTTACAAGGGCCTAACCCCTTAATTTCCGGGAAGAAACTCGTCAGATATTATGAGAAAAATGTTTATTCAGTCAGTGAGACGGGCGACTCGGAAGAAATTTTAAAAAATTGCAAGCAGTACTCCCCGTACCAGCTGGAGTACTCCAGTTATTTTCATTAGATAGTGAGACCCGTGCTTAGATCATAAGAAGCTTGTCAATGACATGTTGCGTAACTGTATTTACTTTGCGATTGCCACTGCTTTCAGATAAAAGATCAAAGATTTTTTCGCGCGCTCACCACTCCGCTCAGCATGTGATGTATGATCATAGCTCTGCTCTGATTGGATAATACTAATGGCACGTGCCAAAACTCCCGCGAAAACAGTTTCTAAAATCAAAGGGTTGCCCCTTTGTATGGGAGATCGCAATGCAGGCTTCAAGACATCGGCTCCTATCACCGGGTCTGAAATTTATCAAACTCAAGCATTTTTCGTGGCAAGCCTCTTGGTGGCATGAAAAGATGTACGACTCTTGAATACAAGAAATAAAGACAAAGATTAAATCATGGCAGCTTCCCATTATCATTTGTGCATTATGCCAAAATTTCGGTGGAGAAATAAAAGAAACGCTTCAGTCCACGTGAAAATTTCTGGCCAAAGTGGTCCAATTCCTATTTATATTCACGACTAACAGACGGGAATGGGTGTGCAGCTCGAACTGTGGAGCCTGAGTGTTTAATGCCGTCCAAATAACATACAAAGTTCAACATCATAACTTAAGAATGGTATACAAATATCCCTAAATAAAGTCACTCAGGCTAAACTATACACGTGCGCCGCCTGATACGAAAACCCAAAAACCCAATGGGAAAAAATTGGGAACGTATTCCACAACCGATGCGATCGCACAACCTCTGGGTGTTAAGGGTAAAAAATCAATCAACAGATGAATAAAGTAAGATATAAAAATAAAAGTTGATAGTTCGAGAGCTGAGATGAATACATTACAACTGTAAAAACCTTATATACCTCAAAACAATAGCGTCAATTACCGCCATAGCGGCTAACGTGCGTTCATACCAGTAGGAAAGTATTTACATTCTCTGTCACTGACACTACGTTTAGCTCCCCTGAATGTAAATACATGTCTTGTGGTGGTCGTTTTGACCATTTTCCCATGAAATTCCACCCGTTTTTGCCGGGACTGTTTGGTTTGGCAAGATGGTAAGCACCCCCTGTACTGTATGCATGAAAACAGGGGGAAGGATGAACTACAAATGCAAACAAGCATAAGGTCTCCGAGGCCATAAACGCCTGTCGGTATCAATTGAGAGAGCAGAACAAAAGGGTGACGTGAAGTTTATGGTAGAAGAATGACGCATCAAAAAAATTCTTAGTCTGCCCATCAGAACCAGGAATAGCCAAGTATATTCCGTTACGAGAATTGTCACAAAATCAGGTGTCTTTAAAAAGAAGGGGTTTGTGAATGCAATAATCGATACTTACCATTGTCAGTAGACTCAATGAGAAAAAGCATTCCTTCATTCTTGAAAGTAACAGACGAGCAGTGTAATGCTACCGCCGGTATCAACAATTGGTAACAGTTGCTGACAAAACTGGTGACCACGCGTTTCATACCACGTGCCGCGATCTGAGAAAGACCCGCTCGCTAACATCACCCCCTTCATGGTTACGAGAGAGAAAAAACAAATACATGACAGAGATATTCGAAAGTTTAAGGTCATTAAGGGTTAGTTTTGAGAACTTTCTTCTCTTGAGAGTCAATCTCACAGAATCGTTTATCTCAGAAGATTTTAACTTTCAGTCCATGATTCAAATACCGTAATCAACGATTATTTGAAATGGAGAATTTCCATCGAGCAATGTGTTATTTTCCATTGTCATAAATTGAATTTAAAAAAAACATGGGATACGGCTTTAAGGGGCTCGAAAGCAGTAAAAAGTGGAAAATCTGAAAAATCTAGAAACTAAACATAAAGAAAGTACTTTGAGATAATCATATGTTAAAGATACCTGTGCTGTGAATGAGCGGTGTTCATGGTTGGTTTGACTTCCCCATACAAGAAAAAAAGCAATGATTTCTTAAATGAAATGAAATAAACAAACTATATTCTGGTGGCATTCAATTCAACACAACCACCAATCTGATGGTATAGTCCATTCTTTGATTTGTTAAAACGCCCGCTGAATAAACCACCCGCAACAGGATCGGTGTCCTGTTCTGGGCCTTTGTTTGATTATCTTGTATCTGACATGCTTACAATACGAAGCTAAGATCAGAGATCGTTACTTGACTGTCGGCGTTCCGACGCAGTATCCCAGTCGGTTTAACATTATCTGCGTCGTTCCCAGGGTTCCCTCATTTCCTTCCGCCACGCAGAAACATAGAGGATATTATTAGGGAGCTTAAGCAACAGCGTTTTTGAGCGACGGACGTCAACCGGAAGTGGACTTTTTGCATCACTGGGGAACGGTTTGGTTGAAACTCTCGGGTAAATCGTCTTTAAAAGTGAAAAGAAACTCAGCAATACAAGTTTGTTAGCGTCAAGGCATATAAAAAGGGAGAAGGCCTCACTTCCGGTTGACGTGCGTCGCTCAAAAACGTCTTTGCTTAAGGTCCCTATTGGAAATCCCCACGAGTCCTTTCCAATCTCGTTCCCAGATTCCGCGTAATCCTTATCCGTAACGTGGACTCTGGGAACAAGTTTGAGTCCGTTTAAGTTTGTTAGCGCATACAATTTCACGATTTTACCGCTGTCCACATGAAGACCAAACTTTTTCGTTAGAACCATTGTTAAGTCGGCTTTGACAGGATGTGCCTTTGGTAAATTTGTGCCATTGGCTAAACTCAAACATTCAGAATTATGCCAGAAATTATAGTAGGTCCCTTATAGTTGCTTTTCCATGCATTAAACGTGAATGGGTGATTCATTTTTCTCCAATAGTTTTTCAACGTGAAGCGTGAAGGAGAAATTCTACTTTTCCGTGAGGCGCGATGTAAGCTTTTGATTTAGTTTTATTTTTTCGTAAATCTTATCGTACATGTGAAACTTTTTTATTATTATTATTTTAAACATGATGAATGAATTTGGTCCAATGTTTACGTGATTCAGTTTTTGGAAGGGTTTAAAGGGACCCTCTGATAACGGTGTTCTTGATATCGAGTTTCCACTGAATTATCGTGTAGCTAGAACCTAATAGGGGACGATTGATAGCCTTCCGATCTTTCAGAGGTACGTTCACGGAATGCTGCTTTAGAATACGTTACTTTCGGGGCCTAGCAAAATGTCTGGAAAACTACGTGAAACCTCCTTTCAGTTAATTTATATGTAGATTGAAAAGCTCATCGGATATGTGAATTGATTTCAGTCTCCAAACACCATGCGTGGAGAATTATATTGTTTCAGATACACCTGCGCCAGCAATTGATTTTACCTTCACCCTCAAATAACTGCTTAGAACGAAAGCTATAGTAACGTCTAACCTTTTAATATCTGCGACCACCTCACTCCCCGCGAGTCCCGCATGATTGCAAATGAACATGTTAGGACACTTGAAGTGGTCGCTTACGAAAGCTAAATTGTATTTGTAACAGCTTTTGAAGGACCAAGAAGAATGTCTACAATCACAAGCAAAATTGGCTTTCTTTTAAGTGGCACCCCGCCAATTACTGCTTTCTGCCAACTGTTAAAACTTGAACCTGTTTTAGGTTTCCTTAAGTGCTCTTAAATTCCTTTCTCTCTCCGACTGGTGCAATGAATTTTTAATCAACAACAACAACAACACCAAAAGCTTTATTTGCATGACCATAAAGGAATTACAGTATTGCAAAAGCTATTAATCTAAATTAAGTACTAATTCAACTAATTAGTACGTGCAAAACATTACAAAACGTGACAGTTCTCATTCATTCATTCATTGATATTAATTTGGTCCTTAATTCAAAGCATTGCGAGATAAATGAAACTAATTGACAGTTAATTAAATAATCAGAAGAATTCATAAGAAGAGATATTAAAGTATCGTGTGAAAGTGATTTGAAGTCAGGTATTTTAGTTTCTAGTTTCGAGAAAAATATGTCTCTGATCTGAGAATAAGCCTTACAATCTAGTAAGAAATGATTTTCATCTTCGATTTTCTTACTTGTACAAAAGTGACATATCCTTTCATTGCGAGGAATGTTTTCGTATCTACCTGTTTCAATTCTAAGTTGATGACTACTTATTCTAAATCTAACTAATGTTTTTCTCGAAGGGTTTTTTCTTGTTAAAACTAGGTACGGCGAGGGGCTATAGTCGTCTTTGATTGTACAATAAAAACTGAGTTTTTGTGATTGTTGAAGTGTCTGATTCCAGTAAGAGACGTATTTATTTTTCATTATGCCGATATACCTATTAACTATTGAGTCACTCAATGAATTACAGGAAAAGTCATAGTTTAGATCATAGTAGTCAACCATTTTCATGAGATTAGAGTAAAAGCTAGTTTGTCCGTTATGATGAAGGTCAATTGAAATTTGTAAGGCCTGTTTAACTATAGAATCTTCATCCTTACCTCTCAGATAGTCTAAGTAATTTAGAATCTTTTTATTTATATCAATGATCATGGGAAATTTACCGAGTTCAGCTCTACAAGCAATGTTGGATGCCTTGTTATGTACTTGTAAATAACGTTTACAGAATTGCAAATGGGTTTTTTCAATTGCAGAGCTGTCCCAGGACTTAAAATCTGATTTAACAAAAGCACCCCAAACTTCGCTGTTGTAGGTTAGAATTGGTGAAATCATAGAGTCAAAAATTTTACACGCAAGTGAGGGCTTAAGATTATTCAAATCCGTGTGTCGCCTGAGGCTGAAGAGCGCGTGAAGAGCTTTTTGTCGGAGATGTTCAAGCGAAAGTGTAAAATTTCCAGAAGATGTAATTCGAGTTCCTAAGTAAGTATAGTTTTGGACAACGTCGATTACTTCATTGCCTATGCGAAAGTTATGTTCACATTTTCGTGTGCATCGTTGAAAAATCATTATTTTGGTTTTCTTAGGATTTATTCTAAGCATCCATGAGTTGCAATATGAAGATAGTACGTTAAGGCAGTTTTGTAGACCAAGTTTGGATCGCGATAATATTATCAAGTCATCTGCGTAAAGGAGAGAGTTGAGTCTGGTGCCATTTGGTAACACGAAGGGGTCTGATAAAACATTGTCAAATGAGAACGCTAGATCGTTAAGGTATAAGTTAAAGAGCAGAGGGCTTAAAATGCAGCCTTGCCGCACTCCTCTTGCGTATTGAAAAGATCGCGTTTTGTTATTTCCAATCCTGACAGAGCAGGTAGACTTCAGAGTATAGACTCTTAATTAGACTATAAAACTTTCCTTGGACATTGATCTTAGATAACTTATAGAGAAGCCCATCATGCCAAACCGAATCAAAGGCTTTCCTAAAGTCAACAAAACACGCATATATTTTCTCCTTGTGACAATGGACATATTTGTCTATTAATGTTCGAAGTGTGAAGACATGATCTGCTGTTCTATTATTTGCTAGAAAACCAATTTGAGACTTGTGAAGTATATTATTTAAGTCAACGTGCTTTAGAAGTCTCTGACTGAGAATTGAACAAAATAGTTTTCCAATACAACTGGAAATACAAATTCCACGGTAGTTTGATGGATCGCTTTTAGTACCACATTTAAAAATTGGTGTAATGAGGCCATCACACCACATTTGGGGCATAGTTCAGTCATCGTAGAGCGTCTTTATCCCTTTCGAATTTTTTAGGGCTTTTTTATTGGACTATTTTTCTGAACGTTTTGTTGGGTGCTAAAAGTTTGCCATTAACTTAAGATTTTCTGACCTTCTTCCGCCTTTATTTCTTTCGAAAAAGCAAACCGCATATTAGGGCTCCATACATTTACTTCTTCAAACAGATTTTTTCTGAAAACGGTCGTTTGGTAAGGGTCTCAAAGGGTTTAAGCGATAGGCGTAAAATGGCCAAAAATTTAGTCGATAGCCGTAAAAATTGAAAAAATTTTAACCGTTAGCCGTGATTAGGGTAAAAATAGTTAACCGTTAAAAAACATTTGCTCGCTAGATTTGTTAATTTTAAGAAAGGTGCTAAAATCACTTATGACCGGTTGCGTTTCTAATTTCGCGACTACTTTGACTTTGACCGTACGTTCGCGCGTCTGCTTTTGCTTTTTCACGAAGGTTCTTTTTAATTGAACTGTTATGTCTGTTATCAGGAATGATCTTTTTCATCCCTTACAAAAAAATGCTACTTGACTGGCAATAGCTTAAACATTTTTATTTAAAGTTAAGTTAAAAGCGCATATCATTTTAAGAGAATGAGAAAACTCTCATCGTTTTAAGATCTTCAAAGCCGCTCTTCCCAGCTTGGCTCCGACACTTGTAAATGTGAGAGTCATAGAAATGTTCGAGTTCTCCATCTATTTACTCGTCCTTTTTCAGTTCGTGTTTTACCAGTTCGGGAGTATGCCAGTTTTGGAAGAAGCGATGACGTAATGATTCCATTGTTCTGCTAAAAATACGCAAAAAAGGGGGAAAATAATCG